TTAAATGATGTAAAAGATTCTAGCTCTACATGAATGGGAATCTTTGTCACTGTCCCTAAAGACTGGATAACATTTAGCCAGGCTCTAGGACCTGGCTTCTAACCTTTAAGATGCTTCTTATAAAGGTGCCACAAGTACAAGAAGGTGTACTTAAAGGTACAGAGTGCAAATTTTCCTTGCTAGTGGCGGGATGAAGGAGAGGGGAAAGGAGAACAGAGCATCCAAAAAGTATTATTCTTCATTTGTAGTGTATTACATGCTAAAGACTTGTTAATCTAAACCAAGGCATACTGTAGATAAATATTTTAATTATGTCTCTTATGTTCAGGCTTTCAGAACACAATATTAAAAAAACAAAAAAGCATCACCTTTAGAAACAGAAACAATCATAAGCTGAAGCTAGACAGACAAGATAAAGATTTTCCTTGAAGAATTTACAGCCTAGCAAGAAGCAGGGGTGGTTATAGAGAAGAACCATCTGTATCTCCAACTCAGATGTGGTAAGATCCATCAATCAACTTACATACAGGGTAGAAATGTATTTGTAGCTGCATTTTAGTGGTGGAACTGCTAGATAATCCAGCCATTTTACCTAACTCCTAGCTTCACATGAAAAAAATCTGCCCCTGCAAATGTAACTTTAAAGGCTAAATTTTACCTGGAGATTGTATGTTTTCCCATGAAAAATGTTGTTGGCTGATGAGGAGCTATTAATAAAAGCTATTAACTTACCCCTCAAGGCTGGTAGTGGATGTGAGACAATTGTATCACAATTTACATTGTCAGCATGCCTTACTTTTAAGTAGGCCATTTTAAAGATAATAAAAATTAAGCCTTTAACTCTGACCAGAAAAAAAAAATACTTAAAAAAAACCCCAAACAAACGCCAATAACATCCTGAAAGTCCTGTTTAGAAAAAAACAGGACAGGTTTTAAGATACAATCATGCAGAAAGCTTCTGAATGCCATGATCACAGGACAATATGAATCATAAGTTACAACTGATGGACCAAACTCAGTTGCATGCCAAAATTTTTTTAAAAGTCTACCTTAGGATGTCTGTACTTGGTATTAATGTGTTGCATTTAAAATGTCAAAATAAAATCTGGATAATTTTGGATAAGCCAATTCACTTGCTATCTTTGCTGCCAATGCCTGCAGATCTTTCATGAAGATAAATTTGTCCTCTAAAAGTCTATAACAGTTTTATTGACACTGAAAACTGTAGAAAGAGCATTAAAATATTCAAACCATTCCACAAGTTCCAAAAATCACAGATGCTCTTTAAACTTTGAAATTGCACCAGAGTTCAGATATCTGGGTGAGAAGCAGAAAACAAATGAACAAGTTGGAAATACTGGGAATGAGGCAGATATAGCACAGCAAAGAGTAGCAGAACTGTTACAAGGGTGCAAGTTGTTATCTGTCACTTTGGTGGCATTTATGAAACCTCAAAAATCCAGAATTGTTTGAGAGTTAGGACTAGAGAGGTACAAAATGTCTGATTGGTCATCGTGTCTTGGACATGAGCACCCATTGTAGTTACCATAAATGCAGTTACAGGCTTTCCTGGAGACTTCTGAAAATCACAATCTGTCTTCCCAGGAATAAAGAAATAAATGAGGGATCCTCTTCAGAAAAATCCACAGACTTCCTTCAGCCCCAAATTCTTCTTTATAGCTCAGTTTTTTCTGCAATTGATATCACCTGCTTCAGACTGAGAAAAATTATGCCATACTTGTGTAATTTATTTGTGCTCTGTGGTTGTCATTCTGCATAGATCATCAAATGCTTTTTTATTGACTTCCGGCAGAAGAGTGTAGAAGGTTTTAGTCAAAGGAAATATTTCCTAAAAATCTTCACAAAAAGATGTGGAGGAAATCAAATATGTAATCAGAAGAACTTAAGCCTTACGGTAGTCCCTAGACAAACATTTGTTCATATGGCGCTCCTGTGAAACCTCATCCAGCCTGCAGATACTACAGTAACTCTAGTACAAAAGAGTTATTGTCATAATCACTGTGCCTTTTTAAACAATGCTTTGTGATCCTAATATTTCAAACATTTGTCCTGAACAGAGTCATCCACACCATTTTATAAAGTCCTCAAATGTTCTCTGTTGAGCTCCAATATTGCTTATTCCAAAACCCAGACAAGCCTTATAAAAGCTGATGCTGTTGGAAGATCTTCATCAAGCAGGCACTCAAGAAAAGAAGAAAAAAAGAACATGTAGTGATGCATATGTTAGTTCCTGCTTGGAGCTACAAAAGTAATCTTACACTCACCACTTAGTAAAAAGGCAGGTCATTCTGAGTGTTCCTATTTGGTATCAATGGGTAAAAAGGAGCACACAATTCTAACTGCAGACAAGCAGAGCAGAATCTGGGCACAAGCTATGGCAGCAGTCCTGCACAGATCAGTCATTATTCAATGTCTCACTATTTTTTACAGGCAAAGGAAACATCCCAGATAATTTGAATACACAGAACAGAGCAAAATATGAAGACGACTGTATATTATTCATGAAAAGATCAAATCTTTGAAAACAGGGACAATATCTACACCCTTTCATTGTACTGGTGTCTAAAAATCCCACTGTCATCCAGATTACTTCACAAAATCAGTGTGAAGCATCTGGGCTGTTTATGTGCAGCTTAGTGTTGCTCCTTTTGTGAAACACACTCACATGTTGATGTGGCTGGTATGACCCAGGGAGACTGACTGGCCCTCACCAGCTTCTGCTGCAGCCAGGATGGGAACGGAGCTGTCACACACTCTGTGCTTTTCCAACTGCATGGGTCAGTCTGTCTGATATTCCCCTGCCATGTGGGCAAGATATGCAGCATATATATCTCCTGGCAGTGAGACTCTGGCATGTCCTCCACTACACAGATAGCCTTTGTACTTTGTGTAAATCCAAACCTACCCCCTGGTGTGGGAAATTTGTTTTATTCCAAGGTCAGTCATGCCTGTTGTTCTTTGTAAATATTAATTTCTTAGGCTGCTTTCTCATGAAGGGTATAGTCTAAATGCCCTAGATTTTTCTTTAAAATACAAAATTAAGATTCTTAACCTTTCCTGGTAAGGACTGCACGTAGCTTGGATCTGTGAATTCCTCCTTTTTTCCATGGCCTATTTGCTGGATGCTGTCTCAATTGGTATAAAATGCACACTTTAAAGACCAGTAGGCTGCCTTGAGTTACAGCAGAGGGCATTTCGGTGACATGGGAAATAGCAGTTTTGGCAGGCTAGGCACAGAGCTGCAAGCAGAGGTTCACTGCGCTCTCCTGCCAGCTCTAACACCTTCTGTCTCTCCTCATGGTTAACACACAATTTCCACACTGGATCTTCTGGATCACATTCTGAGAAAGGCCAGATAAACAACATGGACCCCAACACCACATCCCAGCAACAGGAATCCTACTCTGAAGCAGATTACGACATGGAATTTGGGTGAGGACTTCAAAAAAAGACTGGAAGGTGTTTAGTTTACTACCATAGACCCTGTAAAGTGTACCTGAGCAGCATCAATCATTTTGTGTACCCCTTGCACAAGGATTTGCTTTGCCTTATACTCATGCATGGTTTACTCTGCAATAGCTAATCAATTTGCAAGTCACATTTGGAAAAAAAAAAGAAAAAAAAGATAGGCAGTCCCGTGTTTTCAGCCTCCACAGGGAATAGAAATTGTCTGAGTGCAGAAAACAAAGCTGACAACACCATTTAGGAAATTAAGAGTTCTGAATATGCTTCTCAAACTGCTTTTAAGCATCTTTAATGTTCAAGAAAGTCAATATAGACTAGACAGACAGAAAACAAAAAAAAAAAAACAACAAGCATAACCCTGGAGAATATAATAGTAAATAAGTGGTCAAAAAACAGCAGGGAAGAAAACAAAATATGTTTTCATGAAGGAACTCTGCCCATTCAGGGGAACAATGGAGAAGAAGCCATGGACAACATGTGGAGACAGGACACAGAACAGGGAAAGAGAGCACATTTATGTGGAAAGCTTTATGAAAAGAGAAGTTGCCATGACTTGGGAGCAATAAAATGACTGCATGTATTACAAAGCTTAAACATGGTTGGTCTGAACAGCACTTGACACACACAGAACATGATTGACTGGATGGAAACCAGCCAGTGGAGGCGAACAGTGAAATGGGTCTTAATCCAAACTGGGAAGAGCCATTGTATCAGAGGTGTGCTCTACACAGGAACAAGAGACAAATAATTAATAGATATGTTATTATAAGAACCGTGTGATACAGATCAGTTACTTCACAGCAATGCAGAGAAATATGCAGCTTTTTTTAAGGCAGGAAATTGGCATGTTCTGTTCCATTCTATAGTTTTGCACACCACCTGTGTGAAATTTAACATACAGGACTGCACCACAGAAGGCAATGAAAAAACAAATATACTAAGTCCTATGCCCCAGTCTGTCTGATCCAATATACTAAATAGGACAACATTCTTATCACTTTGTGTTTAATGCTTTCACAGAATGAAATATCACAATGCACCTGTATATATTAGGTTAGATCCTCAGTTGGAATAAATAGCTGCAGCCTCACTGAAACCTGTAATTTTTAAGTATTCCCCCTTCACCTTACTTCCTTTGGAAGGAGGCAGCTGAATTTCAGTTTGCTTGTTTGGCACCTCCACCCAAACTTCATGGTCAGCTTGGCCTAGAGATATGCTTTCTTTTTCTCTTATAATGCTATATATCCTGTTTAACAGACAATTTACTTAATCTGCAGCTGACTCTGAACCAGGTCAGACAATTACATTAAAAATCTTCTAACCCCCCCCCATACATGCACTCTGTAATGACTGAATGTTATAAAACAGTAACTGCTTTAAAAGTGGCAAAGCAAACAAAGTGACTCATCCATCCCCTGACTTTCCTATTAATACAATTAACTTTGAAAACATTTGAGTCAAATTTCTTTTTCTTTTTCAAAGGCTTGAAGGGACAAGGATTATCACCAAAACACTCCATAAATGATGATGTGTTTATTACTCTTCCCTAAACCCAAATCAACCCTTCCACCACATCTCCAACCCACATATGTGCATGTGTGCATATCATTCTTGCTGGGCCAAGGCTACAGTATGCCTTTGCATCATAGCAACACATTATCACTTACAGTTATCAGGCAAGAGCGACACACAAAGGCACAGTGGCTTTAAAGCATCAACAGAGTATCAGCAAAGAAAAACTCCAAAATTATTATTTGCATAAGCAGCTGACAGTAGCTTCCAAGTGGGTTTTTATATGCACTGAGACCCTAAGAAAAATGAAGGGGAAAAAATAAATTGAGTATTTCACCATGAAAAACAGCAATTCATTATCAAGCAATTAGCTTAGTAATAAGTTCCCGTTTCTCACTTTGGGAAATTTCCATGAATATTGGTAATATAATTATGATAAAGGTTGAAGACATACTACAGTACTCAACTGTTAACAGTCCACAAACAATTTGTCTTCTCATGATAAACAGGAGAGGGTCTAATTACACTGAACATTTCAAGGAAAGATTGAATGTTTGCCAGACAACTCTCCACAGATTGCTTTTAAAGCATAGTACTGGACTGCTGAAGGGAAAATACAGAATCTTGGGTCCAGGTAATTAACTTTCACACTGTTCTCTTCTTAAACCCTAATGAAGCTCCCATGAAGTCTTTATTACCAAAGGGTATTTGTTAATAAAAATCAGAGAGCCAGACAAAGGTCCTATTTCCCTCTCCTACTCTATACATTTCTGGCTATTATACAATTCTCAGGACTCGTAATGTCTTTGAAATGAGTAATGATGGCCTGAAAAGTGAAAAGGGTGAGAGATATATAATGATAGAGAGCAACATTTCCAGAAATATGGAAAATTCTGGGACCTGAAGAGAGTCTTAAAAGAGAGAATGGCGGTGTTTGACCAAGAAAAGAGCAGAAGGATAAGGAAGGCTGAGCTATATTTGTATTTGGTGAAATGGCATTACCCTGAAGTGAAACTGATGAAGATAAAAAAGCAAAACTTCAGGAAATCCAGCAACTCAGTAGCTTAATCTAGATTTCATACGGTAAGGAGTAAGATTGCTTACTGACACTGGTGGCAGTGCTTCCTTCCAGGAAGCATCTGTTCAGATATTTAAAGTGTTCAGTGTATCTGGCAGGGCTCTCCACAACAAAGATTTCCAAGGACAGTGAATCCCCTTGCTCCAGCCACAAACAAATACTGTTGAGCCAGCTGAGGTATATTGGCTACCTCAGGGATGCAATCCCTTCTGCTGGCTTTGCTGAAGATAAAGTCTTTGGTTTGCACAGGCTGGGTGGTGATATTTCAATGTGTCCTAGTGCTATCCAAAAAACCACCAAAGTGCTTTAATAGAAGCTCCCTGTGAAGTCCCTGAAAAGCGCATTTTGGATTACTCTTAATTCCCAAAATAAATACACAAGCATTTGCATAAATATTGTCCACAATATTACAGTTGGAGATTTTGTTGACTCCGTACCTGAGTGCTGGAGGAAAGTCAAGATACGCAGTCTGTTTCCTCTTTCATTGTCCAAATCCAAGCCAGGACCCAACAAGGAGAAAGGAATAAATGTTTGTTGTGATTTCACTTTCATCTATTCTATATGTCAATATGTGCTTTCACTATATTAATCCACATCCTTCCCTGTGTCTAAAACCTACATTAAAAACAGGAGCTAATCTCTAGCCCTTCATTATGCATTGGCAAGAGCATTTGGCATATGAAACACCTCAGGACCATTTGTTAGATGGTCTGTGCCTACATAAAGGCTTTTCCTGGAGTGTACAAGTTTGCACAATGCATTTTGGAGGAGCAGTTATCATATTGTAATCAGATCAGATGAATTGTAAATGAATTAAAAGCACATTCAAAAGCACATCCTAGAAATTTCTAAAAGGATTAAGACAATAATAGCCACTAGTTTGCAATTTTTGAAATTACCTTTTTGGAACACTAAGCATCAGAAGAGGTGACAGTGGTTCCAAGTCCATGAAAAATTTCCATTTCCCAAAACAGAAAGCACTGCTGACAAAGTATTTGAGGGTTTATTTTGTTATTACAAACAACAACAACAAAAAAGAAAAACAACTAGAAAACAACATACAGAAACCTCTGCACTTTTGATGATCTAGAAACAGTTCTTACTCAAGCCATTCATTCATCTTTTGGGAGCACATCTGAATTTTACAGAGCTACATGTCTTATATTTCCTGAAGTTCCACATACTATTTAGATATAGAAAAGAATGCTATTAGATATAGAAAAGAATGCTATTAGTGATTTCCTTTTTAAAGCTTATGGCCATGGTTTCTACATCTCACTGCACTCATTAAGACTCTCTAAAGCTAAGATTTATCTTTCTAATTTCAGGATTATTTTATTTAGTTGAGGCTGTAACTGTCATTAATCAGTAGCTGCAAGAGATGTTCATTTACAAGAAAGGGTATTTTGGAGCAGGTAGAGACTAGTATAATCTCTTGCTTTTAAAAGTACCTATTAAAAATGCAGAGAGAATATTGCATTAAACAGCTTAGATGCTAAAACTTCGTGAGAGGTATCTTAGCTGAAATGTAATAACAGAAGTGCAAGTAAATCCAAACAATTAACAATGGCATACACATTAAAAACGTTTCCCCAAAAATATCAAACATGAGCAAATACCATATCAATGTAGGCAAGGAGCTTGCACTTAGAGTCTGCAGTTCAGGAGTATTTGTAATAGCTCATATAAATTATGAATTATCACAGGACTAGCCTTTGCATCCAAACCCGTTATTACTTTGTACCACTTCATTTGGCAGAGGAAATTGAGTTCTGTTTAGAACTGCCTAACCACCAGTGATAAGCCAAAGTATCTATTCCAGATCTTTGGCATTACAGATAAGGGAGAAGAAACTGATCTTCTGATTGTAGCCTAAGGAGCAAAATGTTCTGTAGTTCCCTGCTAAGATGAGCAGAAATCCGTCTCCAATCCAGGAAGAAACAAGTAATTTTGGATCAGCTGGAAACTACATTTTTCAAAGGTTTCACTTGGAGAAAAATCCTTTAAGTTTTACATTTTTATTCATTTATGACTAGCTCCAAGATAATGCTATACAGTAATTTCATAATAATGCTGATCACCTGTGCCACAGGGCATCACAACTGCTTCTATGTTCAATTGGTCTCTTTATCCTCATGTTTTACAACAGACACAAGACAGTGCTACTGACAACTAATGCAAAATACTCTCTAGCAACAGAGGCCTTTGCATTCCTACAGTTACAAGTCCCAAGTCTTAATACCCTTCCTCACATTGCAGTCTAAATGCAGGCTGTTATGACCTTAGGGGATTCAGGTGTGAAAATGAACTAGCTTCACATGCATTCTGGTGGGGCACATCAACAAGATTATACAAGCTGATAGGAGACATGTTACCCTCATAATCACACTTCCCAGTGGATGCATCTATGCCAAAACTCATTGCAGCAGGGACAGTGACAAACAAATGTTCAGTCCTAGGAAGAGAGTGGAAAAAGCTGTTTTGTCATGCTGTTCGTAGATGGTTTGTGCATTTCCTCAGGAGTGTACTTTCATGGGTTTTGTATATTTTAGGCCCAGGAATAAAAGCCAGGGACTGGCTTTCAATTTCCTATTCCATTCTCTTCCATTAAGGTCTAATGTCCACGTCATCACTGGAGCAACTGAGTGCTTTCCAGCAGTTTGTGAAGTGACATGACTAACATTTGTCCTGTGTTCATGCCCTCATCCCCTCCTCAGGCGTAGGAGAATGTGCAGTAGTGTTTTGGGATTTTTTTGCCCTTTCTTTTCTTGTTTTTTTTTGTTTTATTATCAGACCTATACACAGACTTGTATATGTTGTGTTATGAAAAACAAGTTAAAACATACACCTTTTACTCTGCACAGAAGTTGCTTTGGTTTGTACTGGTCCTTGTGGGAGTTCAATCCAGTCTTAAACCTTGTCCAAAAAAGTCTTTGTGGTGCTTCATATCTTCCTGGAGTGACTGGTTGCAGGAGCCACCTGCAGGTTTCTGATCAAACTCTTTCTTTTCTTGTAGTAAAGGGGTGCATGGCCTATGGTGTTATATTACCATAGGAAAATATGGAAGGGAAACAGGCAAGAGAAAACTGGAATGAGGACTAACTTCAGCATTTGGCTATACTCAGCAAATATAAACTAGTCAAACTCTCCAGAATAGATCTTTATTTTTTAAGACATTGGTGCAGGACTTGATCCTAAGACAGTTCATTACAAAACAAGGACAAAATCCAGCCTTTTCCTAAGGGTTTATTATGAACACAAAAAACACGGTGAGATTTAAAAACAAAGGCAAGCAAAGCTGACCCATTTTTGGATGTTAAAATAAAGCACCAGCACCCTCTATCAGGATATTTCAAACACTGGCAGTAGAACAGTGATTTATCCTGAATAGAAAACATGCCCTTAGTAGATATTTAGTATGTACCGCAATCTTTGTCAGTCTGCTTTAATTAAAAGTTCTATTTCTGTTTTAAAATTGACATGACTACCATCCAGAGCTCTGCTTTGCACAGATATTTTTCAGAGCTGTGGAGCAAATTGTTATGCAGTATCACTCAGATAAAGGCCTGCAATAAGAGAAGTGATAATGAAGACAGCAGCTGTTACTAAATTACAAAAACAAGACAGATTTGTTGGCAAACAGTAACAATCTGGAAAACTTTTTTGGGAGTTCAACACTTCTGCAAAGAGTCCCTTTTTGGGTTCCCTCAGTGGAGTGTGATGACACACAGAAAAATTGCTTCACAGGAGACTTACGACCTTTCTAACATGACCTGCTGCTCCTCACACTCTTCCCGTTCATAGGTAAAGTAATTACATTTATCTTGACCCCTTGCAGCCCCTTTTTTATGGGAAGGACTATAGCACAGAGAATCACAAAGGACACATGGATGTTCAATGCCCACCCTTTCCTAATAGGTTCCAAAGAATCAACAGCAGAACATATTCCCCTATCATCCTCACCAAAATCTTCAGCCACTAGAGAAACAAATCTTCAGTGCAGCGTTTTACCATTCCTTGTGTCTAAACAATCGAATACCATCAGCTTCCGGTCACTACATAATTATGCCAGGTGTCAAGAGGAAATCTCAAGGGCAAAGAATTTGTAGCCATTCTTCCAGCTTGTGACAACTAGGCTAAAGCCACTGTTTTTTTTAGAGCATTGGTAATCTAAACAACTGGACAGATTCATGAGTTTTCCAGCACCCTCTGGTTAGGTGTCCCTTATCCTTCACAATGACTTTATATAGTCACGGAATTCCCACCTGAAAATTATCAATTCATGTTTTTCACTATGCACTAAATGAAAGGGCGTAATGTAGCACAAATACTCATCCATGACGATTACCAATCACTTTGGGCTTCTGTGTGCGTGCAGGGTACGCAGAACATAGGTTTTGAAAAACACTTTATTTGCTCCTTCTTCCCCCCTCAGGTCTCCCCAGAAGGCAGTCAAGTACATCCTTAGAGTACATCTCCTTAGTACATCTTAGTACACCTCCTTAGAGGAACCTTAGGGGTAAGATATCTTTCTTTTATCATCATTAAATTTCTCAAAATTCTTATAGGTGCCATTCAAGCTCAAGAAACCTTGCTGAAAAAAATTGCAGTTGCATCTTCAATGAAGCACTGGAGTCAAAGTTACCAGGGCTACTGAAAGAGACAGTTCTGCAGTGTGCTTTGGGTAAAGAGGACAGAGAAAACTCACCCCAAAAGATTTTACTACTGTTGTATCTAGTCCTAGTTGAGACTCTGAAAAAATAACATAAAGGAGTTATGGAGAACTTGGTCATGTATGTTTTTAAATATGCAGATTAATTTAGGATGCAAATGCAGTGAAAATGTGTTCTGCACTGAAGCATGCAAACCAGGATTTTGTCCCACACTTAAATAAAGCCATACTTCCTTGAAATTTCCAGCCCACAAGAGAGGAAAAAAAAATTGTGTGTCTACCCAAAGAACAGGGTTTTAATTAGGAAAAGTAGTCAATCTAGAGAAGAATTAAACAATGAATTTTGGAAGAAAAGTTTTCATCTACTCTCAGTTCTAAAAATGTTTCATAGGGGAGGCTGCTGTAACAGCTGTCATAATTGCCTATGAGTGTTCTTTGCCTTTTTGCAGTATTTTTGAAAGCTTTGATATGCAGAATAGTACTACATGGAAAGAATTTGCTTTGCCTCAGTTTCTTTGTGGTAACTTCCCAAATGGATGGTACCACCCCACTGCCTCCTGTCAAAGGGAGCTTAGCCCTCTCTCATCAAGGGAACTCACATCTTCCCTGGCACACTAAGCAACACAAACACAGCTTCTGAGAGGCATAGTAACACTTTTCTCTCAAAATCTTTAGCCTCTGTGACTGTCTGCCCAAGCAACTCAGGTCTTCTAATAGTAATGCACACACTGAACCTCAAAAGCAAAGGAAGTACATGGTGCTGTAGTAACAGCACCAGTTTGAGGGACAACCATGTATCTTGGAACAATAGGTTCATGTATTCTTCTGCATAAAATCACAGAAAAAATAAGAGAAGGACAGGTCTCAAATCACAGATTCAACAGGACAGGTAACAGATTCAACAACTATCAACTTCTTCATCAATGAAGAAGATATGTTCTATATTGTTTTTTTTCACAGAGATTACAAAGAGCAGATACTCAAATGTAGAAAAGAGACTTTGCATGTTGAAGTGTACAGCCTAGTTACCCACCTCTATCATAACCAAAAAAGAGGCTGTTACTGAGGAAGTTGTTCTGTTCTATATTAGATGTTATATCAAGTGGAACTTTTGGACAAGAAAGTATTTTTTCAGAAAAAAAACTTTATAACAATAGTTGTGTAATGAAAAAAGAGAGAAGCACAGCAGACAAGGACAGATAATATATTTAAACACAGCAACAATAAAAAGCATAGAAGATAAAATAAAGAAACTTTCCCACCTCTTCTCAGGGTGGTGATAAGACTAAATTGATCACAGAGATATGGATCAGTCAACATTGGCATAATGTGTTAATTTTATCTATTATCATATCTATATCTATATCCACTATTATCTTAAATGCATTTTTTAAATATACATCAACTTCCAACCAGTCATGCTCAATAAACAGATGATTATTGGGTGTCTGACAACATGGAAATTATCTCTGCGTCTGCTAAAACTTTTTATATAAGACACACACTCATTTTCTTTCATGTCAACTTCATTTAGCAGTCATTTCCTTTACAAAATTAAGTCAGACAAGTCAAAATCAGTCTTGCATACACTGCAAGCTTCTCCATTAGATCTGTATTAATCAATACAGAGCCCATATTCTCTGGACCTGAAAACAGTGGAGAAGGACACTAGGATCTGATTCTCCAGACATGGACAATGCACAGAGATCAGATTAAGTAGATGCATGTTATTCTAAATGTCTTAACCAAATACAGCACAAAGGAGTTAAGCAGCTGGAGCAACTGTCTGAAGAGTAAAGATGAAAAATTCTGGCCCTGGTACCTCTAAAGACACTATGTAAGTTGAGATTTGCTCCAGGAACACTTAGAATTCAGTTCATTCAGAAGTTGGTTCTCCCAAAACCAACATGACTTGTGATGAGATATTCAGTACTGTCTTTGCATGGGATATAAACAGATTTGGATATCAGGGCTCCCAAAACTCCAATCAGATCTGACTCCTGTGATCATGTGAAACTCCATTAATTCCAGTTGAACTTTTGACTAGGATCTTCCCAAATAAAAAATAGAGTTTCCAGGAGGACAAGTGCTATATAAATAAAAATACAAACGATTACTGCGACATAATATCTATCCTGAGAGAACAGAGTGACATCCTTGGAGCTGTTCTGGGAGCTGAGGTGAATAATAGACTTTTCATAATTTACCATAAGATATTAATTTATCTTTGAAGAACAGCAACAAGAAAATGCAATACTGGGGATGGAAAAAAAGGGAAATAAAATTGCACCATATTTTTCTGTGAACTGGAGAACACTGTTAGAAACCAAACTAGTCCAAACCAAATCAGCCAGCAACTGGAGGTAGCAACTGAACAGCAGGATTTGATGAAGTCACCAGTGCTGGTAGTAGGGTAGTAGGCAGAAATAGCATTTAAAAAATAATTTAGAATAGTTACACAAATATTGTTCAGAGCGGTACAGCTGCATCTATGACAGGAATAAATAGCTTTCACTCGGTCCTTTGGAGAGCTGCAAGGTGATTTGTGATTCCTCAGAGTGGTTACCCCAGCAAAA